AACTAGAGCCAGAAGCATTGACAGCATGCAAGCCATTTTTCATGCCTACATGAATAGTAATATCCATAACATCAGAGGCTCCTTTTTGGGATTTGACTTGTGATATGTTGTAATTTTAAAAAGGTACACATGGTTTGAGAGATGATTAGCTTCTTCTGTATGTAGTTATACTAGTTTTGTCTTACTGAGTTATAGAAGAACTAAAAGCTAATACAATCCTGAGTTGTATAAACAGAGGCATAGAATCAAGATCACGCGAAGTATTAGTACCGCTTTACAAAGCCCTAATAAAACCACACCTGAAATACTGCAGGCAATTTTGGTCACCATATCACAAAAAAGATGTTGAGAGTTTGAAAAAAATTCAGAGAAGAGCAACTAAGATGATCAAAGACCTGGAGGCTAAAACATACAAAGAATGGCTGCGGGACTTGGGCTTGGATAGTCTAAAGAAAAGAAGAAATAGGGGAGACGTGATAGCAGTATTCCACTATCTGAGGGGCTGCCATAAGGCAGAAGGGGTCAGGTTGTTCACCCGAGCACCAGAGGGAAGGATGAGAAACAATGGTTGGAAACTGATCAAGGAGAGAAGCAACCTGAAATTAAGGAGAAACTTCCTGACAGTGAGGATAATCAACCAATGGAACAGCTTACCCCCAGAATTCGTGGGCACTCCATCACTGGAGATTTTAAAGAAGAGACTAGACAATCACCTGTCTGAGATGGTGTAGGTTCTCCTGCTTGAGCAGGGGGCTGGACTAGAAGACCCCCAGGGTCCCTTCCAGCTTCTACTCTACTCTACTCTACTCTACTCTACTCTACTCTACTCTACTCTACTCTACTCTACTCTACTCTACTCTACTCTACTCTACTCTACTCTAAAAAGTACAAGAATGGAAAGAGTGCAGATATAAGAAATATCCTTCTCTTTTCAAACTACCTTCAGTTCACTTCTTACCATAATGTAAACAAACAAACCTGGATAGTAAAGACACAGGTTGGATCCATAGCAGTCCTGAGTTAATGTATAATTATTTCAGATTGTTAGAGAAAACTTTGTTTGAAGCTTTCAGGGTGGGAAGAAGTGTTTCTAGTCACAGCACAAATTAATAGACAGGTGAACCAGTGGTGTGATTCAGAATACTTTACAGTAAGACAATTTCATTTCACTTTCTCATTTTGGTTATTATTTCTTGCTAAGCCCTAAAGCAGTGGTGGCGAACCTATGGCACACATGCCAAAGGTGCCACTCAAAGCCCTTTCTGTTGGCACGTGCGCCACCGCTGCCAGCAGCAGGTCCATCAGGCCGCCCCCACTGCCTGGAGCAGGAGCCCCATCCAGCACAAAGGAGGCGAAGCGGCCGACTAGCAAGCTTGAGTAGAGGTGGTAGAGCAGAGGTCACCAACCATTGACGATTGGTGGACTGGAAGAAAAGGGAGGGGGAAGCATTTTACATGCGTGCATGTGCGCATGGGGCTGCGAGCACACACGTGCTGCAAATGGGGTGGGGCTAATGCCTGCGTGATACCCACTAGCCCTGCCCCATTCTTACATGGTGCAGCGCCTTGTATCTGCACCCCGTGGCGTGGCAGCGGCCATTTTTGTGCCTTGCAGCGCGGTGGCCCATTTTTTTTACCACCAGTTTTTGCGTGTCAGAGAAGGCACTCAGAGGTGCCTCCCTACCCCCCCCCCCCAGGGCACCACAATGCTGATGTGGTCCTGGCACTTTGCGATAAATAAGTGGGTTTGGGGTTGTGGTTTGGGCACTCGGTCTCTAAAAGATTCGCCATCACTGCCCTAAAGCTATCATATCTATTCTATTCACTGAGATCAGAGATGAATATGGAAAAGTAGAGTAGAATTTGATGGTTCTCCTGATAATTCCATTTTTCTTGTTGTATCAGAACCTTGAAGATTTTTTCCTGTTTGTGTCAAATTGTAATTCTTGTTCTTTGTTGTTTCATCAATTTGATCATACTAATTTGTAGTCTGCTGTCTGATTTATTTGTGCCTTTGTTGTTATTTCCTGGGTGTTTTTTAATTGTAAATTTAGGTTGGAAATATGCTTATTTAAATCATCAAAGTTGTTTCGGATTTCCTTGTGGTTTGAGCCTATTGTCATTTGTATTTGTCCTAACATTACATATATTTCCTCTTGGAAAGTATTTATCTTGCCTTGAAGTATTGCTTCTGGAGGCCCTTGATTTTCCAGGCTATGTCCTTCAGGAGAAAATACTGAATGTGGCATCCTGTCATTTTTTGATACGTATGTGATATCCATGGTGTCTCCTTCCTTCAAATAGTCTTTCATCAATGTTTTAATTCACAAGTCAATTTATCAATCAGTCCAAATTGCAGCTCAGTATGTTAAGCCACTTTAAATCCTTCCTATAGATTCTCCGCTAAAAGATTAGCCAAAAAGCCAAGGGTTTTTTTTCCATAAACAGTTCTTAGATTTAAGCAACAGTCCAGGTGTTTTTTTCCCCCCTTTCAAACACTTTTTAATCTTATATCTGGCTTTTCCTTTGTTCCCAGCTGTCTTCAAGATTATTTGCAATTCAAAGGAACAACTTTTTCTTTGTTTCTAGGCATTCTGCCAATTGCTGAGTCCTTATTGTTAGTGTTCTATTCTCTGAGTCTCCACTAGATCAGGGCTTTTCAACCAATGGTACGGGTACCATCTGTGGTACATTGGTACCTGGCAGGTGGTACGCGATCATCCTACAAAAGTGGTAGCGGGGGAGGGGAATGAGCTAAACCGGTGGCAACACTGCACAAGCCTGAGCGAGAGATGGCTGGAGCTGCACGGCTGTCAGGGCTCAGTGGAAGTACCAGGATCAGCGCCAGGCTCCAGCTGGAGCTCAGCGCTGATCCTGGCGCTTCTGCTGAGCCCAGAAGAAGCGCCGATCAACTGGAATGTTGCAGCATCTCCAGGGTCTTGTGAAGCTTGGCAACTGATTCATATTTATGACGGTCACAGTGTCCCAGGGTCATGTGAAATGACCAAAACCTGCTGCAACCACCCAGCAGACAGGGGAAATAAAAACCAAACACTCCCCCACCCCACCCCCGCTGCCAATCCTCAACAGAAATGCTCACAACAATGAAAACCTCAGGCAGGAGGAAGAGCGCCGCCAGGTTGGCAGATAGGTGTCTTGCTTGGCTGTGGCTTGGGGGACACTTTTTTCAGTACCATTGTAACTTCGAATAGTCACTAAGCGAACTGTTTGTAAGTCGAGGACTACCTGTACTTCATCACTTTTTCCCTTTTTTTTTTTTTTGGTCATCAAGTTTTTGACATATTGCTAGGTGACTGGTGGTACTCGGATATTGCCATATCCTAAAAGTGGTAAAATGGGTGAAAAGGTTGAAAAGCCCTGCACTAGATGTCAGCAGTTATTTCTTTTTTCAGTTTTTCTTTCAATCAAAAAGTTATTTTTCTTGTATATTTTTATAATTCCATCAAAAATTTTAGGGTATAATCTTGACAGTTTTTTAGTTCCTAAATTTGTCTGGACTGAAGTATTTTAAATCAAATTTTAATATATCTCTTCCCTCCTTTAATATTAATTTGCCGCTTCTATCTGTAAGGGAATGGGGATATAGTCCGCTCCCTTCACTTCTGGAGGTTTTCTTGCTTTGGGGATCTTTTCAAGGATTTGGATAATAGATAGAAGAAAGAAGATCAGTACTCTCACCAATTCCAAGCACGCTGTTTACCGATGTTTAGGTTCGTGCTCTGGAACTTCAGCTGCAAGCAGCTTGAGCTAGATGCTGATCTCACGCTAGCCTTTCTCCTGTCGGGTTCGGAGGGCTTTTCCCGGATCAAACGAAGCGATTGCCATCGCTTTGTGATCAATGGGGCACTCCTCCTTCACGGTCACCTCTTTGGGGCAACTTCGGACCCATCTAGGGTCCCCCAAGCAGGAAGAAACTAGCTTTGGGGCGCAGAGGCTCGCTCTCGCGCAGCCATGCGCTGCGGGCGCAAAACTGGAACCACAATTGAAATGTTTGAGGTACAGTCCAATATGCAGTCACCTGCGACATTCCGCAAAACTCTGTGTGTTTGGCTTCCAAATTGAGATGCTCAGGATGGTACCATAAAAGTTGTAGCTTATAACAAAAAGCTTGCACAAAGACTCTGAAGGCTATTAGCTTCAGTGTCCTGGATGCTCTGTGGTTTTTGTTTAAATTCTGGACTCTCAACAAACCAGTACGTTCTTCTGCAGTCCAGTCAAGACAGGTCTTGAAAGTTTGCCAGCCCATATGCTTCTAGTACCTTCTCTTAAACATCACCATCTTACGGGATCTGCCTGTTTCAGTGGCAGCCCTTGCTCTATGGAATGCCTTTCCCCTTGCAGTTTGGCAGGCCTCTGTCCTCTTAGCCTTCTAAAAAATACTTAAAACCAGACTCCCCCCCCCCCCCCCAAGTACTGGGATAAGGTGAAGTGGATGAGAGGATTTAATGAGGAATGCATGTGGAAGCTTAATTTTGGTGCCAGATTTTTAATGTTGTTGGTTTTAATATATATTATTTTGTTTTATTATATATGTTGCTTTAATTGTTTCCTGAGAGCCATCCAGAGTTTGATACAAGATGGGCAGCTATATAAATGGCTTGAATTAATTAATTAATGATTTATTTATTTATTTTAACAAAGAGAGAGTCTGCCAAGAGAGAGCCAGCTTGGTCTAGTGGTTGGGGCACCAGGCTGGAGGGCAGGAGGGGGTGAGTTCAAGTCACGCCTTAACTATGAAAGCCAGCTGGGTGACTTTGGGCCAGTCATTGACTCTCAACCCAACCCACCTCCCAGGTTATTGTTTGAGGACAGTGTGTTGGATATGTTTGCCACCTTGAGTTATTCTTAAAAATAAAAAAGATGGGATACAAATAATAATAAAATAATAAAATAAACTCTGCCCTCTGTCCAGCAGCCCATTGCAGAATATAAACCATTCATACTTTCTACCACACACCCAGTCCTGAAGATGGATTGCAGGATGCAGAAGGCAGTCTGGTGTGCCTCCCCACAACCTGTCGCTCTACTTCTTTCCACAGAGCTCCATGAATCTCCCTCCTGACAAGGCCCGTCTTCTGAGGCAATATGACAATGAGAAGAAATGGGACCTAATTTGTGACCAGGTAAGAGAACTGGAGGAGCTAAGATAGGGAGGGGGGGAAGGGAGAGAGAGAGAGAGAGAGAGAGAGAGAGAGAGAGAGAGAGAGAGAGAGAGAGAGAGAGAGAGAGAGAGAGAGAGAGAGAGAGACTTTGCCAACATGAAAGAGACATAACATGTCAGGGCATATCAGCTTATAACTCAGGCAAGAGGACTATTGCCAGAAACAACATGTGGTCCCCTTGATCTAAGGCAGGGGTGTCAAACTGGTGGTTCATGGGCCGGATGCGTCATGGGCAGGTCATGCCCACTCCGGCTCTGCAAAGGCAAAAAAAAAGCTGTGATACGTCATGATACATCACGTGACGCGATCAAATTTGACACCTGTGATCTAAGGGCTTTGATTTCCTTTAAAAGAGCAGGCAACATCTCCCTATCTGAAGGCTCTTTTGATACATGGCTGCTGAAATCAAGGGGTCCCTGTTATCCCTGTAAATAATGGGAAATTTCTACATTTGATCTAGGTAAAGCTCTGTTACAAACTGAAGGAAAAAAAATGCTCCAGTGCTTTTTATTTTCTGGACAATTTTGGTCAGTTTGATGTTCTTAGAGTGGTGTTTTTCAAAGTGTGGTCTGAGGATCCTGGGGAGTCCTCCAAGACCTTCTCAAGGCCCTTCAAAATCAAAATTATTTGCCAGTTTATGTTGAGAAATGATTTATTTAATAGTAAAGTCCCATCAAACGATTGTGAGAAATATAGTGGCAGCAATTGTATCAATTTTAATGTTTAATTTTGTAAACATCAATAAATCTACAAGAAGTTAAAAGGTATAATCTTTAAAACTGGGAAGGGGCCCCAGAAAAAAAGTTTAATAAACACTAATATAGAGAACAACACTTAAAAGATGCAAGAGAGATCTGACTTTTTCATGGAGCATCCCTAAAATATCACTTGAGCCCAGATAGGCTTCACTGCTAAGACTTCCCTTATTTCCCTAAAAAAAAAAAAACAACTCCAAACCAAACAAAAAACCTACAAGGAGTTATCTTAGTATGGTCTTGGCCCCAACTGCCAAATAAGCAGGAAGGTGCCAATATAGAACATGGCTAACCAGAGAGCCTTTTGCTGAAAGCTGCGTCAAATCTGGAGTAATTCAGGATGTAAATGTAAAACTATTGCAACTCATCCATCAGTGTTGCTCTCATAGTTTGGCCAAGAAAAGTGATATGTGCTTCAGCCCAGAAACTTTTCGCAAGAGCAGTACAGAGGCTCAGAGTCCCTGAGATAATTCTTGGGTTATTTTAAAGGAAAATTGCTTTTCATGAGATGAACTATCAGGAGAAACCATCTGGAGAGGAAAACAAATCCTGTAAAGAACTGTTACATCTAAACATATGCATGCTATGGACACTACGTAGAATTAGAGGAGGTTGCTGGATCAGCCTGATACTGTATTTGATCAAAGTGAAATGTAGGACATTAATACAGTCACCAATATCATATCCAAAGGCCTTTGATCTTGAAGAAGTAACCGTAACTTAAATCCCAAACTCTATGAATTTATTTGAAACAATGTTCATGGATTCAAAACATTATTTTTGCAAGTCTGTGAGTATGTAAGAACTTGGATAAGAAAATGGTTTTCAGTTTGATTATTTACAACCTGATCCTATATTCCTGCGCACTTAGAAGTAAAATTCTTCAACAGAGTAATTGTGCCTAGTCTTAACAATCTTGAAGTTATAGGGACAGACTTTTCTAACATATGAGCACAAGAAAAAGAGCAGAAACTATCTGGGTGAAGCATAAAATGAAAATAGCCTTCCTTTCAAGTTTATTAGGGAAGCAGACATAAAGAAGCATCTGCTATTTGGATTAGTAGGTACCTAAGTTGAGTCCCTGGCTGGCATGATTTCAGTGCAAGTGAGGGCTTTATATGCTGAGGGGGAGTTCTTGAATTAATAAATCCATAATGCAGCATTCCAGAATGTTGGCTTTCAAAGACTTCTTGCATACACAGTAATTCCCTCCATCTCTTCCCTCCCCCCCCCATTTCTTTTCTCTACCCAACATGGAACAGGAAAGGTTTCAAGTGAAGAATCCACCCCATACATATATACAGAAATTGAAGAGCTTCCTCGATCCAGGTGTTACCCGAAAGGTAAGTCTTAAAAGACTTCTTTAAAATGGTTTCCAATATTAGGAGAACGGTGACCAAAGAAAACAGCTTCCCCCCCTCCTCTCCCCCACACTTTATAGTATACCAAAGCATTAGCTATGCATTGGTCCAAGCAGAATATTATTTGCTATTAAATTAAAACTAATAAAATACATGTGGTCCTCAACTTACAACCATTTGTTTAGTGACTAGTTACAGTCCACTGAAAAAACAGTGACCTGTCTATGCACTTACGACTATTCCAGCATCTTCACGGTCAGATGATCAATTCTGACACTTGGCCACTGGCATATACTTACAACAATTGTAGCATCTCAGGTCATGTGATCACTTTTGTGATCTTTCTAGCCAACTTCCAGTTAGCTAAGCGAATGGAGAAAACTGGATTAGCTTACCCGACCACCTGATTCATTTAACAACTGCAGTGATTCATTTAACAGCTGTCACAAAAAAGGTCCGTAAGGTCCTGCCTCAGCTGTTTACTCAGGAAAGCATGACTCTTGCAACAAGCATTATTTCAAAAGAATCTTTTACTGAGAGAAAGTGATTGCAGAGAAGCCAGGCAGAATCTGAAGTTCCCACATGAATCATTAACCTAATTTCCATTGTTCAAACCCCACCCCAAAGCCCGAGTCCATCAGGAGCCAATCTGCTGGCTTAAAGTTATTATGGGGACCCCAAGATGAGAAGGTGATAACAAGTTGTCTTCTTGGTGCTGTGATCTTGGTAACAGGCTGAATCCAGCTGGAAAGGAGTCCATCCAGATGATCCTGATGGCCCATTCCCCCCTTCCTATTTCTCATACCAATACATCAGAGCGAAAGCAACAAATTCTTGAAACCCCAAATAACTGCCCCCATCCTTTTGGAATGGCAGCGTTCCGACAGGGACCTGACCTGACAAGGCCATAAAATCAGGGGTGACTTCATTTAGCAATGGAAATTCTGGTCCCAGTTGTTGTTGTAAGTTAAGGACTACCTGTATAAGGGATAAGTCATGGGAGTGGAAGCTACCACAATTGTAATTGTGAAAAATAAATATACCCTACAATCCACAAGTTGTGGTGACTTATCTACTAACTCAATGGGCAGACAGCAATTTGGCAGTGCTGAACACGCAAACGGGACTCTTCTACACACAATAGACTCTTCATACCACTCAAAACCACCTCTGGACCTCTGCAGTGCAGGCCTTGCTTAAGAGGAGAGCTGTTTTTTTCCTACTCAACAAAAAAAAAGAAATACAGTTATCATTGAATCAAGCCCAAATCCTTCTGACATGGAAATACCCATCTTATTGAAGATTAGATAATCCTCCGTTACAAAATCTTTAATAAATGGTAAAATTATTATTCTTTTAAACAATAAAGGTAGTAGAGGGATATGAAGAGTGATAGAAAAGGAAATGCCAGCATATTTAAACTGATGGTCCATCCTGCCTCTGCAGTTGTGGTTCTTTTGTGTAAAAAATTGATTGTGCTGTATACTACTAGAGCAAGGAGTTATTTGTGCTTACAGAAGTTCCGTCGGAGGGTGCAGGAATCCACCAAAGTGCTGAGGGAGCTGGAGATCTCTTTAAGGACCAATCACATTGGGTAAGTTATTGTTAACTTTTGAACAAGTGTATCATGTATCATTTTGAAGTCTGAGAAAGTACTATTTGAACAGGCATTATATTTGATGCTGTGTGTTATCTCACAGGGATGGGGTGTTTTCTCTCTGGCTGCTGGATTGTATGAATTCATGCTATGATCCATACAGTTTTTTATATATTCAGGCTAGCCTTTAAACCAATACAGAATAGCAGTAAATGATTGATCCTTAGTAGTCAAGCCAAAACTATAATGCAGAGATCTGTCCAGGGATCATATGATTGTAGGGTTTGCACAATGTATTAGATCAGACTATATAGATCAGTAGTGGCGAACCTATGGCACGCTTGCCAGAGGTGGCACTCAGAGCCCTCTCTGTGGTCACCCACGCCGTCGTCCCAGACAGAGGGACATGGGCCTGGGCTGCTCCCCTCCCCCTCTCCACACATCCAGAGTCCGGGAACAGCTGCAAGAGCTGGGCGGGGAGAAGGGAACCTATAAAAGGAGCACTCTTGGCAGAAGAGTGAGTGAGCGGCCTTTGGAAGCGACGGTGGGCAACAAGCGAGCGAGCACATGGCCTTTGGAAGTGACCAGTGGTGGGTTTCAAATAATTTAACAACTGGTTCACCCAGTCGCCCCATCCACCAGAGACTTCCTGGAACTCCCCCAACCCTGCCTGGCCCCCACCATGAGCAGCATCAAGGTGGCCACACTGACACCCACCCAGTCTGCCTTGACCACCGCAGCCATGCCCACCCAGTGGGCTACACCCACCCGGCCCCTGGAGATAAATAAGTGAGTTTTGGTTGCAGTTTGGGCATTCGGTCTCTAAAAGGTTCACCACCACTGATATAGATTATGGGCCAGTATTTCTGAGAAATATATTGTGTGAATTAAGCCTTCACATTAAATTCTAAAAAGGATGTGAACACAACAGTTGTGTTTTGTTAATTTCAGTTTAGGGTTTAGCATGTTGTGGGTACCCGACCTGGAGATGATTTGTCAAAAGGAAGAAAATTGATCTGGGTCTTTTCTGATTTGAACTCTTTCTATGCAGCCCTTCTAGTCTGACAAGAAGTTGGATTTAAGATAGGAGCCATTCTCCATTCAAGGGTGGTATTTTGTACAAGGAAACATTTAATCCCCTGCCTTTCTTACTCCCTAAATTTCACGTCTAGATTGCTACACCCTAGCAAAAAGATTCCTATCATATCTAAAAAGTTTGCAAGCCTGCTATGGAGAATTGAGAAATGTGTTCCTGTCTCCCACCTGTCCTGGTTCCAGCTGGAAGGGAAACACCAACAAGAGCAGGAAGCTGAACTGTTCCTGTTCTTGGCTTCTGAGCCTGGTTGGGTAGGAATTCCTCAGGTCAGTTGGAACTGATACCAAGGGTGATGCTTAGTCAGCAGTATCCTTTGGTGAGGTCTGAACAAACAATAACACAAGGTATGAGATTCAGGAATCTGCAAAGGATGAAAAAAGACCAAATGTTAGAAGTGTGGGGCAGAATCAAATATTTTATATAAGGTAGAATGAGGTACATGTATGAATTTCTGAAGAGAATCATAGTGCACAATGTGTCAGAAAATAAAGCATTCAGGCTTCCTCATCCAGAATTCTTCACTAAGGCAAGACTCAACTGTTCTACAGAGCACAGAGTTCAGAGTTAAGGACATTCCCCACCCCATCCCATCAGCTGAATTACAGTAGGCAGTGAATTGTGGATGCAAAGGACTACATTCTGGAAATCCAAGGTACCGGTATTCAGCTGAACAATCCAAACAAGATAGTTAACCAGGTCAAATGAAGTTTTTATTAATTTATTTTTATATAGAGAGAACACGGGTCTTCAAACTTAGAATTCTGGGAGTTAAAGTCCATAAGTCATAAAAGGGCCAAGTTTGAAGACCCCTGTGCTAGAACTATTTATCGTGGATAAGAAAGCTAGGTGTGCTATTATTTATCAGAGTGCTTTTTTCTCCCAGTCACCTGGAAGAACAGCACAGTTTTCTCCCCCAAAGCACCAGAATGTTATTCATAAATAATTTTCTGGCACCACATGATATTCTCTTCCTTCTGCTAATCATAGCACTGGTCAAGATGAAAGACTGTGTGGCCACTGCTGAAAATGTAAAGCAGTTTTTTTAAAGAGGTTAGCAGGCCATGTTGAAGCAAGCAGTCTGTCCTCTATTTTCATAGTAGATATGAATTATTTCAGCAATTCGGGAAGATACGTTAACTTTCAGTTGTTATTATTATTAGCAATAACTCAGGTTCTATTATGATGATAACTAATTGTTTTTGCTATGTGATGTGAAAAATGGCAAAATATTGCATAATTATTTATTGGAACAATATTTCATGCTCTGGATCCTATTCAAGAGTGAGAAAAAAATTATATATGCAGATTTTACTGAAAATCAATACATGTAAATCTTTTCTGCTTCATAATAGTGAGTCATGGAAGCTATTTATAATGAGAAGACATGAATAACTGGGCCAGCATCTCTTCTGCAAGACAAAACTCAGAAAATTATGTTGGCTGAGCAGAACAACAGTCAATAACGTTCAGTTTTTATACTGGATACTTCCTTCCCATCTACCAGTTGCTTCCTTTATAATGCAGAATGCAGGAGGAATTACTCAGTGCCTTCCTTTCCATCTCTAATTTTCTGCTTTTATGCACATAAGAGGGTTAAGGCTGGAATATCCAAAGGTCATTCCCTTGGGATTGTCCATGCTAGTTACCCTCAGTGCAGTTTCTAGTGCTTTTGAAAGTTCCATGCCTTTTGATCGATACAAGTGAATGTATTGCTTCAGATAGGAAGGGGGGGCAGAAAAGATTACAGTATTGGCAGTTCTCTCCCTTCCATCCTGGACATAGCATATAAGTGTTGCTTGAGCAGGGTCCTCAAGATTGTCTGGGACACTACACATCCTCTTCATGTATTCAAAATGGACAGCGTTTAATATTTATATGTAAGGGTGTAGGTTTATACATATGTTGTATATATCATGTTTAAATATGTGTTACGCATGTGTACACTTGGAGAGCAAGCAACTAAATTTCATTTTTAATGTGTGCCAATATGCCCACAGTAAAAAATGACAATAATGGTTACTTATCTATCTATAGATAATAGAATTTTTTTGCCTTTCTTTCTTTTCCTTGCTTTTGTCTGGTACCTATTTTGATGTTTGCGGATGTTTTTATACGTTCATATAATCTGCTAGTTGAGCTGAGTGATAGGTGAACTTGCTGTCATCTGGATAAAGGAAGTGACTGGATGCAAACTAAACTGCAAATTACCCATAATCATTTTCCAACATTTTGTGGTCTTAGTCTACAAAAATAGAATTGAATGTGTGTGTAGATGAAAACCTGGTTTCATTGCAGCGGTGAGGTTGTCAGTGAGGTTTACCAATGTACGACAAACGTATGCCATCGTGATATTGTTGACTACAATTTCCATCGTTCCCAGCTGTTATTTTTGACCATTCCCAATGATTATCAAAAGCATATTTTTGCAATAGGCAATTAGTCACAGAATTCGACATTTCTGGGAATGGAATCAGGGATAATTTGGAACAACTATGATAAGAAAAAAGGAACAACCATGATAAGAATATAACTTGGAGTGTGTCCCTGACTTGGACACAGCAGAATCTTTGGCACAGAAAAACTTTAGAAGGCTATGATTCACAGGGGGGATAGGGTTGGGTATATGGGGGAACAGGCTCTCATTCTCTGGGGGAGAAGGAAGCACACAAGGACATAAAGCAATCCCTGCTCATGTATGCAATCTTGGAGGGTAACCTGCTTCTTGCAAACAATCTTCAACTGCTACAAATAATCCACATGTCCTTGATAAAATTTCCTCTATCTTTCTAAAGCTTATTTTTGCTTTCTTGTAAACAACAGTCTATTCAAATAAAAAAAATCATTTTTTGTAACAGAGTTGTCAAAGTCTGGAATATCTTACCCAATTCAGTTCTCTCAGCTCCTAACTTTGACAGTTTTAATTCTAACTTAACTTCTGTGGACCTCATCCCATATTTAAGAAGTTCCTAAGGGGGTGTGTCTAAGTGCACTAACATGCCTATTGTCCCTATCACATTTTAGTTGTTTCATTTTGTTCGTTAGAATTTGTAATTTTTGTTTGGTGAATAAACAAACAAACAATAAACAATATAAATACCAAACAAACAAACAAACAAATTCGGAGAAGAATGGACATCCCATAATGTAACCCAGCAGGGATCTGCCCCAAATTTCTCAAGCCTTCCTTCCTTCCTTCCTTCCTTCCTTCCTTCCTTCCTTCCTTCCTTCCTTCCTTCCTTCCTTCCTTCCTTCCTTCCTTCCTTCCTCCCTCCCTCCCTCCCTCCCTCCCTCCCTCTTGGGCCACTTGTTTGAACCCCTGTTTCCCTGTTTCTTAACACAGCTGGGGCTGAACTGTTGGTGTTAGTGATATTCCTGGTTGGAAGCAGTCTGTGAGACTTTCCTAAGCCCAGTGATTGTTTGCATCATGTACACAAATGAATATCAGTGCATGCAGGTGCTCACTCACATCTATGCCTTGTCTCTCATTTGCTCTTGAGGATTTATTCCTTCCAATGAAGGCATAAAATGACTGTCAGAGGCATAGTGAATCTAATCTAGTATTTGCTGTAATTGACAATGGCTCTCCAGGTCAGAGATTGAGAAATGTTTTGTGTAACTCCTTGGAACACCTATATACAAAACATGTGCTTTGCCAATCAGCTGTAGTTAATCAGGCACAGCAGCAGATGCATTTGTAAAGAAACATCTATGTAAGCACACACTAAAAAAAAATTGTGCAGCTTCCTCTTCTGCAAGGAACTCACACACTCGCTCATAATTCCTCTTCCTTACCTGCCTACAGGATGGGATTTGCCTTAGAGAGCCTTTGCTCCTTCCTCCACATCCTTTAGCCTTCAGCAGATGCATTGAAGACTCTAAATTAGTAGTGCAGCCACTGAAATCAGGCAGGAAACACACTGGGGTTGGAGGCTGAAGTTCAGACAAGCAGGAAATGGGCGGGTGTAGAGGGAGAGAGAGGGAAAGGGAGACCATATGTACCATTTCAGGGTCCAGATGATTAATGGTCAAAATTGCAGTCAGCCAAAGCTGCTTCAGGAAATAACAGCACATATTGAAACCACTAGCTGCAGGCATTCTCTCTCTTATGATGTACAGTACTTGTTCCTGGGTTGGCACATCTCCACGTACAAAGTCATACACATTCACAGCTTCATTTGGTATTACCCGACATGTACAGTTTGATTCTTTGCCTACAGATTTGTCCCATTTGTTTCCTGTGCTATTTTCCCTCCTTGCATCAAAGACTACAGGAGGGTGAGGGATCTCCAGCAGATGTCTTAGAACCTAAGCAAACACTCCCTTCCCTGCTGTTGAAAGATAAAGCTGTACCAGTTACAGTATTTTGTTTACAACGACTAGGGGCCACCACTATCTCCCTGAACTGACATTGGGTGGGCCATAGTTGCTGATTTCCTTCTAAATTCATCATGTTCTTCTGTCTTCTCTGAACCCTGTCCAGTTTATATACATTGCTCCAAAACACCAGACTGGACATCGTTCTAAAAATAAGCTGAGTTTGATTGGAGTTATTTGAGAAAGAGAAGTGTTGATGTCTGATGTCTAGGCTGGTGTCTCTGAAAGCTGGAGATAGCCATTCACTTGTTCAGGGAGATTGTGGTAGCTCCTCGTTGCTGTAAACAAAATACAAAATTCAAGAATTTCCCATTGGGAAGGGACATCTCATTGGAGCATATTTGCTTTCCATACACAATTTGAATTATAATTCCATGAATCTTCATTGAATAGGCTGCCCTCCCAGACTGTGGAGGGCACAGGATGTGGGTTTTCAAGTATCTAAATTAGAGGTTCCTAAACATTTTGCCATCATACCTCCCTTTAGTGTAATATTAATATATGTATCTCCCCTAAAAATTTAAATACCCAAATGAACAATGAAAACAACATAATGAAATATTGGAAGATGTGGGTTTATTACAACAAAGCAAAACTAAAAGGTTCTTCATCCCTCCCTTGAACTCATCCTGTACCACTTTCCCGAAGGCGATATACCTCACAGTTTGAGAAATCCTGCTCAAAGTACTAATTCAGTATTTTGCAGGAGACAATGAGTTTGATTTTTGTGCAAGATTATATATACCCGCTGAATCTGTCTAATTTATATAACTAATTAATATCTTGTCTTTTTAGGCAAAATCTATCCCTGAGATCTTAACGTAAAACAAGGTTAGGTACAATCAAGTATATAAGTGTTTATAAAAATAGCAGAAACAGAAGAACCAGCAAAAAGGAGGAGGAAGATAAGATTAATATTAGCCAAAACATTACAATTTTCAATGTGTACATAAACTCAGGCTATAACAACTCATTCCTGAGAGTTGCAATCACCTGAATTGTCACAATCAAATAGATGAAATGGTAGTGTGACCCTATGTACCTAAAAACACTGAGAAGAATGAAAGAGGAGAAAATTATATTGGATAGTAAGCAGCATTCAAGGAAATAAAAGACATGGATGTGGCTCGTGTCCATTGAAGGATTCCAAGTTAATATCTAGTTACATCCATGTCTTTTATTTCCTTGAATGCTGCTTGCTACCCAGTATAATTTTCTCCTCTTTCCTTCTTCTCAGGGTTTTTAGGTTCATAGGCTCTATGCTTAAATGTCAAGTAGGCCATCGTTGCATTTTTTTTTTAGTTCATCTGTAGGTTGCCCAGAGTGATCCAGGAGTCAGTTGGCTTCAAAATTGGATGGGTAAACAAATGAACATCTTTCTTTAAACACTATTTGAATGCATAAAGAGGCAATCCTCCATCAGCTGGAAATTGTTGCCTCATCTGGAGGACATCAGGTTGGGACCAGCTGGTTGGAAGGATGGACCTCGAAAAGTGCCACAGTTGGACTTTAAACATAGTCAGTAAGTCACATCACAAAACATCTGGAATAATGACATTTTGAAGTCAGTTTGTGTTTTTGTGTTTTTGCAGGTGGGTGCGTGAATTTCTCAATGATGAAAACAAAGGCCTGGATGTGCTGGTGGACTACCTCTCATTTGCTCAGTGTGCAGTGATGTAAGTAATTGTGTTATTGTCAAGATGCCCTGGCTCTTTTTCCTTCTTCACAGTATCTCATATCTATGTTGACATTTCATGTTGGTATCATATACTGTATATTCTTAAAAAGTGGCAATGACAGTTATAGGAAGACATAATGATATTTGCACATTGAGTGGATAATGACATTTTGGAAGCTTGGTTTTATATGTGGGACTCTTAATCTCATTCAGATTCCCAGATAGAGAAGAATTTATATGTTACTTTTAGCATTTTCCATGCCAGGCTTCCTGTTCATTATGGAAGTCTCCCTAGCTGGCACTTACAGATCACAGTTTGCATTAGAGGTACTTCCAAGGAAAAATTTGCTCACTGTTTGGCATTTACTGTATATAGACTAATATATAGACTATATGAGATAAATAAAAATGACAGGTACAAATAAATGAGAATTGGATAATTGTCTGGCATTTCATTAATTAATTAATTACATTGTAATTAATATGTTCTACTTTTCTGAACTGAAACTGGAAATACTAATTAAAAGTGCAGCAAGTGAAAGATACTGTTGTCTGCCTTTCTTTTTGTTGGTTCAAAAAAGGATCTGAAGTTCTAGTAATGCATGATCCACACAGGATGTTGTAGACGAGGGATTGCAGCTTGAAGATGTAGGACAATATGTGGCTCTGAGGCTTAATTTCAAAGCTTATGTAAATCTTTTCTTCTGTGCTGTCTGCTGCTTGGTAGAGAGTCAAGAGAGTATCAGAAAGATGATAAAAAGGGGGTTTGGGGTGATGTGCTATTAATAATAATAAGCTACATATTGCTTTGATCCCACTGTTCACGAAGCCTCGAACAGATGGCCTAAATTGGTCCCCAGAGTCCTTGAGAATTAGTTGGAAAGGCCATAGAATTCCATTTTGCAATAATATTTAGGTATCCTAACAGAAACATGAAAAGAAAGCCCAAAGGATATCAAAACAAGAGGAAAAAATTTCCTGGCAGTTGTTTTGAAGAATACTCGAGAGAGCTAACCGACTGTTCTTACCTCTGTTTAGTAACTTTTACTTGAATTTACCCAAATGTCTTTGCTAGTTAGATCCCACGGGCGCAACAGACAAGGGAGCTCATAGTATATACATACAGCGTATCTCTTTATCAGGAATGGTAAGGCATGAGGCAATCTGCATAGGTGCCATTTTCTAGCCTAAGTTAGTTCTGACTGGAAGATGAATTTTCTTGAAGTTGTCTCCTTATCCTGATAAATTCTTATCTTTATCTTGCTGCTTTGGCAGCTTGTTTATTTCATTTTTTTCAAGTTATCCCACACTCAGGAAGCAGCGATCTTGGAATGAATTACATAATTTTAAACAACCAAAATATATAAAACGGGAGTAGCCCAAGCCAGAATAAAAGAGTATTAAAACAGCAGCAGAAAGGTTAACAGAAGAAATTCAGGGTAACTTGTAAGTTTGTCAATTTTGGTACCAGGTGAGTTTTCTTAAATCTGTATTCCCATAAGCTCATGTTACTGGGCTTTTCTTAGTGATGGCTTTCTTCTTATTTGCTTTCTTTCTATGTGTCTGAATCTGTATGCAAATACACACACACACACACACACACACACACACACACATACACACACACATACAAAAAACCAATTACGATACATTAAATCTATTTTCTTTTCAATATTTTGTTAGTATTTATTAGAATAAAAATATAAAAAAATTAAAGGAAAAACAAAGAAAAAGGAGAAGATGAGAAAATAGAAGCAAAACAGAAAGAAAACATCGAATTATGATTTTAGTCATTCTTTCTATTGAGTAATTGCTATCTTACTCCTTCCCCTTCCTTTTTAACCCTTTTTAACCCCTTAGTCCATACATCATACAATAAATGTCTTTTCCAACTGGGGAATGCTAAGGTTTTAGGCCAAAGAGATCTCAACCTGTCAGCAGTGGATTATAGCTAGATAATTTAGACCAGTGATAGTGAAATTTTGGGGCTCAGAATGTCAAAAATGTGGAAAATGCGTAACTTGACTCTGCTTAAAAGTCATCCCTGGTATAGGGTTTCCTGCTTGAGCAGGGGGTTGGACTAGAAGACTTCCAAGGTCCCTATTCTGTTATTTATCTCCTCCACCCCATCTAAGCCACCCTGAATGGTAGCATTCAGCAGCAGTGCTAAGCCTGGATCTGAAAGTAGAGGCCACGTCTTGACTTCAGCCCTGCGGCCACTCAAAATAGGCTAACGCATGATGTTTCCCAAGGTTTGTAAGCCTTCAGTTGTAAGAGTTGAATTGTACTACAAAAGGTGTGATTTAGGGGGATAATTGAACTTCCTCAAAATATAAGGATTTACCAGAGTTGCTCTATGAGGAAGCGCTAAAGTCAGAATGCTGTGATTGGAAAAGGCAGAAATCTAGAAAGGATTTGTAGATCGTAACATTTAGAAACCGTCTGTGACAAGAGGATTTTTCATGTAACTTCATCTCAGGTTGTTTAGAATGCCAAAGCTCATTTTTTGAATTGGTCTTTTAAATAGATCAGGAGCCATTATTGGCTTAATACTGTTCACAGATTTAAAGAACATCATAAAAATGACTTGTAACTCCACCCAGAATTCAGCACAAATGGGACTAGCTGTTTCCAAGATATATTCTTGAAATAAAGCTGTTTAGTCATAATCTAATGCAAACGTCATAGTCCAGGGGTAGGCAACCTTGGCTCTTTTATGACTCGTGGACTTCAGGAGTCTGACTCAGGAATTCTGGGAGTTGAAGTCCACGAGTCATAAAAGAGCCAAGGTTGCCTACCCCTGCCATAGTCTATAAAGGACAACTGACTGCAGGCCAGATAGCATACGGTGATGCTAGAAAAGACTGTATTTAATATAAATTCACCCCACATGGTGTGGAATATACTGTTGCTTTTGTATTGGGGTAACCATACTGTAAAACTGCCCTGTGAATTTCTGTGCAGCAGAGATTTCTGTATGCTGAGATGTTACTTACAGAAAGGACATTTGATTGTCCATTCACACCTTGTCATGACCCATGCTGCTGACTTGTGGCTTGCAGAAACATCCATCCTTTGGGAATCCAGAGCTTGACCCCTCTGTGCCAGCTTTTGCCCTAAAGCTTCCCTGTGTGTATGGTGTATGTTCCCTGTCTGCCCTCCAGGTTTGATTTTGAGGGTCTGGAAAATAGCGAGGATGGAGCCCTAGAGAAGTTGAAATCTTGGAGCAGGTCCATAGAGGATCTGCAGCACCCCAGCACCCTGTCTGCTCCCTACGCCAACAGTCTTGCTCGCTCTGCGCGCCAGTCTGCTCTCCGGTATGTACCTCTGTCTTGCTGCAACCTCCAGTATGTATCCTGTTCAGCGGTGCTACTTATACAGTAATAAACCTACCCTGCTTTCTACCCTCCAGGGGATGCCGTGTGCTGATTTCTTCTTCCCATTCCCATTCTCCCCCCTTGATGTTCCTCTGAGGGTAGCTGGCCAGGTCTCCTCTCTGCTCCAGGCCTTGCCTTTGCCCTGCTCTGTTTGCCTGTCTTTGCTGGGTCTCCTGTTCTCTCTTTTTTTCTGTCCTTATTACCTTGGTAAGTATCCTTGTATTGGGTACCATGTACATCTCAGGCTGGGTACTGGCCTGTGTGCATGCAGATATGTGTGGGCATGTAGACAAGAGACCCTGTAGTCCATGGCAGACCTTTTGGCTTGAAGGCAAATGAGTGGTTGAGTAGAAACATAAGGATTGGGAGACAGGTTTAATCTGCACCTGAAAACCAACTTATTCTAAAAAGCCCAAAGAAAATCAGCTGCTTTTACAAGATCATGAAAGTTCATTCTTGTTTGAAGGGACAGCTAAAAAAATCTAGCCGTCTGCCGTGATGGCACTGATGCCCTCAGAAAGAAAGTTAATTGGTAATAGTCTGATCAACTGCTACTACAATGATAATATGCAGGATAGGCAAATATGCCTTCCAAAAATTTTGGGCTTCAGTTCCCCTCTATCCCAACCAGCAAGGGATTGTGGGGTCCATAATTTAAAATTTATGGCAGGCATCAGAATGCTGTATTGGATAATAATCATACTAGCTCTGAAAGGTCCAGTGTCTTCCTGCATCTCAGTCAAGGCTACAGGTTTGAATCATCTGCCTTTACAAAGAACAGAAAGGAATAGAATTGGAACATTTGAGGAGAAGAACTAAACTTTATCATAACTTTTGCAGATGTCCTCTCTTAGCTAAACATTCTTTTCTGACGATGACCTCTAGTCATAGCTTTTCTGAAGCTTTCACCTCTAGTTTCTCTCTGCCACTCACATGTTTAGATCACATGCCACATTTTTGAGAACTTACCTAGTTTCTCTATTTCTCACGGAAGACATTATTTTCTTCCAAATTTGGATTATTTTCCATCAACAAAAGTCTAATTTGCTGTCTTGGTTTTTTAAAAACATTTTAATTGCTTTGCTTAATTGCTTTGGTTTGGGTTTTCCTGAGTTAGGCTGTTAAAAAACCATGTGCCTTCATCTTGCTAAAGTAACATTTTGGGATGTTTTAAGTTTTTTTTTTTTAACAGAAACAGATAATGATACTAGGGAAATAAAACATGTGGAAAATCCCCTGAATGACTGGAAGTTTGATTGGCAATTCTAGGAGCCGTCTGTCTTTAAAACAGCTATCAGATTGCAAGTAAGGTACTGAGGCCACCCAGCCTTTTTTTGTTCCTGAAGGAAAGCATACATCTTGGGCAAATCTCCTGACAGAAGCCAGTGGTTCTAATTCCAGTGTTCCTTCTTAGCTGTGGCTGTGACCTCATCCTTGGCAAGTGATAGCATTCTTTTGGGGAGGTTATTGCTTCTTGCTAAATGTAGGGCTCTCTTTTCTTTGCCAGATACACCACACTTCCCAGCAGAAAAGCTCTGAAGAACTCACGGCTGGTGAGCCAGAAAGATGATGTGCACGTGTGCATCTTGTGTTTACGAGCCATCATGAACTATCAGGTATCGCTGGCCTGACCCTTAGGAGTGCTGGCTTTGAGCTGGGATAGGGGTTTTGGGGGTGCTTGGCTCTGGTGAATTTACAGGAAACTTGGACTCTATCCTAATAGAATAAATGATTTTAAATTTGTGCATGCATTTTATTACATTTATAGTTTGGTTTTGCCCCAGGAGAACTTTTGGCTTGAACACCTGAGAGATTTTGGGGGGGCAGGAAGAGAAAATAGAGTACGTTATTGTTACTTCTGCTGGCACAGCACCTCCTGCTGGTCATTTTTCGCCCCAAGCTTGGCACTTAACCTCAGTTGTTTTTGGCTCTCCAAGCAGTGTAGTATTTTGACTGGACCTAACTTCTAACGTCAGTACCAGTAAAGAATTTAACTTAGCTATGCCTTAAAAGTTCCATTCTGTCTAAAGAATGTACTTGAAAACAGAGTGTCAGAAGATGGGGGACACCATTCCTAAATAGTGTGTATTTCCAAAGAGATATCTGGGTGGTGAGTTGCAGTGCAATTGGTATGACTACTCTTTGTTAAATTAATATACTTTTCTTTTTCTTTTACTTCTCCCACTCTATTATCCAAATATTCTGTATGAGTATTTGTAGCCATCTAACTATGCATCAGATTCATGTGTAACAAAGCTATGCTATATGTAACATTTTAAAGAATAATTTATTTACATAAAATGACCTTTTAAAAAACATAAATGCCCGCTCAGTGTTTTTTTTGTAAAAAAAAAAAAAAAGGTGCGGAACTCACACATGTCATACAACCTGCCTTGCCTACCGTACAAGGTTCCATCCAAAAAAGGTGCCGGAACGCACTGTTCCTGCCTACTCATCATGACATCCCTTTTCAGGATAATTAGCTTAATGCAGAGTACAGAAAAATATTAATTTACAGGAAGCCTAATAATAATAGTAGTAGTAGTAGTAGTAGTAATAGTAGTAGTAGTAACAACAACAACTTGATAGGTAGACAAAAATGCCAAATCTAGTCTGAATATCTGGCCAACTGTGCGATGATCAATAATTATGATGATGATGATGACGACGATGACACAAGGATCAAAAAAAGAAAATGATTTAAATCTACTTTACATAAACACCTTTCTCTGTATCGCTATACCTTTTTATTATTGCAAATCATCCTTGTTTCAAACACATATGCACAGTGCTTCATATACTGTTATCTGTTGTTTACAATTCTCACTTCTCTTTTTTTTTACCACCTTTGTCTATATATGTGTCTGTGGAGATTCTGTCATCCTGGTCATGGTTGTCCCAAATATGCTTTTTCAAAAGGCAACTGCATTTTATTTTTTCTTGAAGACATTTCACTTCTTATCCAAGAAGCTTTTTCAGTTCTGACACTAAGAACTGAAGAAGCTTCTTGGATGAGAAGCAAAACATCTTCAAAGAAAAACAAAGTCCAGTTTTCTTTTGAAAAGCACCCTTGGTACTTTATATACTGTTATGTGTGTTACATCTTAAATAAGGCTATTTGTTTAGTTGGCTGTTTCTTATAACTTCTAATATTTATATAAATCCTTTTCCCTTTCAGTATGGATTCAATTTGGTTATGTCACATCCTCACGCTGTTAATGAGATTGCCCTCAGTTTGAACAATAAAAATCCCAGGTAAGACAACTTGATACTCAATGAGCCCCATGGAAATGAAGATCGTTGTTTAATTTTGAAATGGTTTACTAAAGCTTATATGGCACAGTTTACATGGATTACATTAATATTGAAAAATGAGCGATTTCAAGATTAATTTTGTGTTTCTAATAACATGGAAATAATAGAAATACAAATATTCTGATAAGTTTAGAAAACACAATCTTCCAAACTCTATTGGAAGTGCAGTCTTCTGGGTTCTTTATAAAAAGGCAAATAGGTATTTTCTGAAAGAGTTGAAAGTGACCGAGATAGAAGTATTGTGTCCCATGATGTGAGGCCAAACAAATCTTTCTTTTGACTTACTATTCCTGCTAATCAAGCAGAGTGAGCAGGTGTCAAGGTTCCGATTAATGGACCCAAACAAATCAGAATTCCGAAGCCTGAAGTTTCCTCAAAGAACATGTATATAGGTAATATCCAAGTTACGAGCATTCACTTAATGTTCGTTCGAAGTTACGTGATAAGGGCCCCTAGTGCTTAGGAGCAAGTCCCAAAATTACAAATATTGCATCACCACAGCAGTTGTTTGCCCTTACGAGTGACTGCAGAGGCTCTGCAACATTCATTCTGGTTATTCCCTTCCTCCCCACCCCCGTCCCGCATCTCCCTAGGCATCAGGCTTTCAAAAATCATCCTGCAAAGTTCAAGATCCTTTGCTTTCTTGGCTGCTCCAGGCCTTCAGTGCGTTCGCAAAGAATGGAGGCCTAAAGTAACACAAGATCATGTGAGATCTCATGCTACTGATCTCGCGTGATCTCATGGTACTTTAGGCCTCTGTTCTATGCAACAGAGAACAGAACCGAAGCTGGGGGATGCTTCCACGTGCCTCTGAAGGTTGGATCAGGGCGTCAGAGGCTTTTTCAGGCTGCTGCTGCTCGGATCTGAGGCTGGGGGATGCTTCTGCGGCCCTCTGGTGGCCTGATATGGGTGCTGGAGGTCTTTTCCAGGCCACTGCCATGCAGAAACGGGCTGCTAGAGGGCCACAGAAGCAACCCCCGGTCTCAGATCTGGGTGGCAGTGCCCTGGAGAAGGCCTCCAATGCCCTGATCCAGCCCCCGGAGGTACACGTAAGCGTCCCCCGGCCTCAGAACTGGGCGGCAGCAGGAACCGTGCCAGAGAGGAGACAGATCTTTTCAAGGTGAATCCGGCATGGCAGGAAGGGAGGGGGAAGCATGAGATATCTTAGTGAGTAAGGAAGGCCTTGGGGGCCTGTTCCATCACTAGGTCCTCCATGGCCTTCCCCACCCTGATATACCTCATCTTTACTTAACAAGCAAGGGAGTGAGATACGAGATTCACTCCCACAAGTTTTCGAGTTACAAGTGGAATGGGCAGGCTCCATTATGCTCGTAATTCGAGGACTACCTATATCGGCATGGTCAAAAGTGAATACAACTCTTTGCTTTTCCCCCAGGAATTCAATGTAACTAAATGTAACACTTCCCTCCCCCTACTGTGTTGTTGATCATGCCACCCAATGAGGGAAATTGGTGGGCTCCATGACTCTTCTTCTCTCCACCTTCCAGCACCAGTTGAAATGACCTTGATTCCCAGGGGATCGCTCTGTGTTTAGTCTAGCAATCCTTTTGGTTTCTCCCTCCCCCCTTTTTCCCAATCTGTGTGGCAACTGAGAACGACAAATATGGCTTCAGCCAGGTTTGTTTCAGAAGTTGACAGTTGGACTCCCCTAAAGAGAAAGAAGTTCCTGGAAAATAACAAGCATGGATACATATTAATGTGATACTAATTTTCATCTCTGTCACCTGAAGTTTCCCTAGGCTTTTGGGGGTGTTCATCATGAAATTTCTGGATTAATCTATCAGCCTTTACATCTCTGCTCTTTACCCAGGTAGCCTCTGACAAAGGGTAACCCTTCCATTTAACTAGGTACTATCATTTCCCTTTATACAGTCTATAATCGAGAATCCATTTTATTTCATAATGGGTGTCACCCTCCACCATAATAGGACTTGGAACTATTCGGGGTACTGGTCTCAATGTTGATTCTATAACTGTTTTCAACAAACTCCAACGAAAAACTGGATGTATCTTCCTCAAGATTCGTAGGAGTTTTAGTTCTATCATGACAGGGCTTAGGATTTTTATGATGGGAAAAGGACTGATGAATTTAGGTCCCAGTTTTTTACATGGTAATTTTAATCTTAAGTATTTGGTTGAGAGATAGACTTTCTCTCCTATATGAAATGGTTTCTGGGGGGGGGGTCACTTCTTTATCAGCTTATTCCTTTTGAATCTTGATTGCCTTAGCTAAGGCTCATGTGACATTAGCCCAAGTGTTTTGCAATGAGCTAACCCACTCGGTTTGTGAGAAGGGGGATCTTGGGGATATTCAGGCATAGGAACGAATTCTCTGCCAGGAGCTATCTTAAAAGGAGTAAGTCCAGTATTGCTGTGTACAGTATTGTTGTATGCCACTTCAGCAAAAGGCAGGTCTGCCCAATTAGTTTGCTGATAGTTAACCTAGCATCTCAAGTATTGTTCCATGCATTCTCTCATTCAGCAGCTCCATTTGTACTTGGATGAAAAGCTGAGCTGAGTCTCTGGGTGGATCCAATCAATTTCACAAACTCCATCCAAAATTTTGCTGTGAACTGAACCCCTTGGTCCAATATAATCCTGTGGTGTTTTAAAAATAGCTTTGCCAGCTTCTGGGCAGAAGGGAGACCAGGACATGCTATAAAATGAGCCTGCTTTGAGAAATAAGAGTCCAGATTACTGTATTTCCACTATTTTCAGGGAGCTCTACGATGAAGTCCATTGCGATTTCCACCCATGGTTGGGATGGGTCTGCTACTTGTAACAATCCAGGGGGCTTCCCAGGTCTTTTTTTCACAGCTGCACAGGTTGCACAGCTCTTAACATAGCTTTCAATGTCCTTTTTCATCCCTGGCCACCAGAACTGCCGCCTTACCAAGTGTAACGTCTTTAAACATCCAAAGTGACCTGCTTGCTTGGCATCTTAGCTTTGTTGCAGGGCTTGGACCCTGAGGGTGCTAGGAAGGTATAACTTGGAGCTTTTCCAGGCTAGTTCATCTCTATATGTCAACACTTGTCTGTTGTCTTTGAACCAGGGGTCCTCTTTCAGCCCAACCTTAAGTTTCTGGGTCAGGCTGCTGCCAAAGCTGGTGGATTGCTTTTAAGCTTGGTGTCTAGTGGTCCCCGAGAGGCCTTTTGTGGCAAAGGAATGATAGCATTGACCACTTCCTCACGATTGCTCTTGCCATTCTGGATAAGTCGACAGCTAGGAAGTTCTTTCCTTCAGGAATGTACTTTAAAGAAAAGTTGAAACGATTGAAATATTGAATCCACTGAACCTGCTTGGGAGATAATTTCCATGGGGTTCTGAGTGCCTTAAGGTTTTATGGTCAGTCCACACTTCAAATGGAATCTTATTCTCCTCTAGGAAATGACGCCAGGTTAGCAATGCCCATCGAACAGCAAACACTTCCTTCTCCCATACAGCCCATCGCTGCTTTGTGTCGGTGAGTTTTCTGGAGGTGAATGTGCATGGTTGTAGGACTCCCTTGCTGTTTTTTTGAAGGAGAACTGCACCCACCGCAATATCACTGACATCTGCTTTGATGATAAACTGTTCCTCAGGGTTAGGGTGTTTGAAGACTGGCTCCCCTGTGAATAACCTTTTAAGTTGTTTGAACGCTGCTTGGCATTCCATAGTCCATCTTAAAAGTTGACTGGGACAGGGTTTTGCCTCCCCCCTTGCCTGTTTTTAACAGTTCAGTAATCAGTAAGGCTATTTTTGCAAAGGAGGCAATGAACTGCTGGTAAAAGTTAGTAAACCCCCAAAAGCTCTGTAGTTGTTTGCAAGTCTGAGGGGGTTGCCATTCTAGAATGGCTTTGACTTTCTCTGGGTGCATCTCCACCCCTTCATTTGAGATTCGGTACCTTAGATAGTCAAGGTGGATTTGGTGGAACTTACATTTGGATAATTTAGTGTAAAGGTTCGCCTTTAATAATTTTTTGAGCACTTCGCGAATCAATTTGACATGTTCCTCCATCATTTCTGTAAAGATGAGGATGTCGTCAAGATAAACTAGGACCCTTTTGTATAGATAGTCATGTAACACCTCATTGATCAACTGCATAAACATGGCAGGAGCCCCCTGAAGGCCAAATGGCATCACGTTGAATTGGGAACTCCGCAACAGGCAATGAAAAACAGTTTTCCATTCATCTTAATCCTTAATTCTCACTCGGTAATAAGCTTCCTGCAGGTCCAACTTGGTGAAAAATTTCCCTTTAGCCATGTGAGCTAACATATCCTTCATAAGGGGGAGTGGATACATGTTTTCCACACTGACAGCATTTAAGCCCTTGAAATCCATGCACAATCTCAATGTTTCATCTTTCTTTTCTTTGAACAGCACGGAGGCAGCCACGTGTGATTTTGCTGGCTAGATGAAGCCCATAGCCAGGTTTTTGTCAATGTATTCTCTTAGTTCATTCATCTCCCTGGGGGGCATGGAATATATTTTTGGCTTAGGGAGTTTCGCTCCTGGCAAGATCTCTATCACACAGTTAGTGACTCGGTGAGGGGGAAGCACATCACACTCCTTCTCACTGAACACCTCGGCCAGATCTCAGTATTCTTGGGGAATGAGTTGGACCCCTAGCAACTGATCTGATGCAAGTTTCAAAGGCTCAGTTGGCTCACTTTCTGATTCAGTGGAGGTGGCTTTCCTCTCCTGACCATTATGCGTAGTGAGAAGAGGGCCCCTTCCTAGTCTTACGATTATACCAAAGGTGCTTTTTTCATGAGGCAACTGGACTTTCTTGTTTTTCTTTGGTATGGGGTCCCAACAAGGATCCATCCTAGTCTCGGCCCTAGCTGAGACCTCATACCTCGCAACCAAGATCACTTTTCTGATTTCCATTTGGTTGAACTTCTCCTTCGGTCTTTCGGCTGAGTGCCCATGGAC